TCCGGGGGGCACACAAACAAAGAAATGGACCTCCATTATGAAGGGAAGGGGCTTCCAAAGTAGGCAAACAACAAGACAAGACATCAGCAGGCCTAAAGGCCAAATAAGGTGGTTTCAGTAGCTCGGAACGGGCCGTTCCAAAATCGGAACGGGTCGTTCCAAAACTCAGAACGGGCCGTTCCAAAATCGGAACGGGCCGTTCTGAACCCCGGAACGGGTCGTTCCAATATAAGAACGGGCCGTTCCAACATAACTGAAATCAACTAAATATTTTGGCTGGAATGGGCCGTTCCAATACCAGAACGGGTCGTTCCAAACAAGGCAAATCTAGAACGGGCCGTTCTGGAAAAGGAAAATTTGTGTTACTTTCTACTCTGGAACGGGCCGTTCCGTTTTCAGAAGGGCCGTTCCAGGGTACGAAATTTACACATAATAATTGGGCGAGAACGGGCCGTTCCGAAACTGGAACAGGCCGTTCTGGCCCACTACTGATCCCTATAAATTGAAGTCTTGGGCACAGTCCACAAGGCGGCCAGAGAAATTTCGAATAAGACTCCTTTGAGCACGAAAATTCTCTATTATTGATGGGAAAACTCTGACATATGCTTTAGAAGATGATCTGAAGCACCAATTTTTGGGATTGGCTGTTGATTGTGCATCTGTCATCTGCTGTCGTGTGTCTCCCAAGCAAAAGGCATTGGTAAGACCTTTTGCATTTTTCAGTTGTGATATTGAGGTTTTATTCTAATATTCTGCAGTTTATTGTTGGGCTCCTCTATGAGATAAATGTGTGCATAACTACTCACATGGATCCATCTTAGCTAGATAGGAAAAATTAGATCTGGTTAAATTCTGATTGATCCATGAGTTCAGTTGTGCACTTTAATCATTGCATTACTTCTAGGTAGTATTTTTCTAATCTCTGTCAACATATCAACTGTGCGAAATAAAATTGTGTGCTGTTTTATGGTATCAGGTAACAAGGTTAGTGAAACAAGGTACTGGGAAGACTACTCTAGCAATAGGTGATGGTGCAAATGATGTTGGCATGATTCAAGCAGCAGATATTGGTGTTGGAATCAGTGGGGTTGAAGGTATGCAGGTCAGTGGCGTACATGACTGGCTCTTTAAGCATAATGATGTCATATAAAACTTTCACTGTGAATGATGGTTTGCTTTTTAACCTTTAATATTGCTAAGTGCAATGCCATATCTGTTATGTTTCAGATACAAGACCAAATTATAGTTTTATTTAGTTTTAATATTTTAAAAAATAACATGGGTTAGAGAGAGAGAACCTCTAATGTTTGTATTTGCATGTTTTGGCTCCATTTTCAAGCTAGATTGTGGACCAGGCTTATTGTCAAGCCTTTCTATTAGCCATGTGTGATTAGTGCTTATTCAATGTAGTAGAGAAGTGAACTTCTCTCTGCATTGTCAGTAATTATTTGCAGGGTAATTTCTTCTATAAAATGAGGAAAATGTCACACACTTAGCTAATAATTATTTGCAGCTAATTTCTTCTATGATAAAATGAAGAAAATGTGACACTTCATGTGAAACTTACTTAGCATTCTGCTATTTTCGTAGTTCTTTTATTCATTTTAATATGAATAGAATCTGTTTGTATACAAGCTAGAAGCTCTTTTAAAGTTATTCTGTCAGAAATAAAGAGTATTTTTCAGTAGATAAGTTTTTAAAAACGCTTTTAAACTTGTATCCAAACATGTTCATAGTTATTTTTGAATTCTGATCATATTGAAAAGCTAAAATTTTCAATGTCACACGAATGCGTTGCAAACTTTCTGCTGTTCATTGTTAATTAATTTTAGTCATTCATTATTATATGTTAAGTTAAATGTATATATAATACTAGCTTTGTTCTCTCTGGCAATTTTTTGTTCCGACTTCTGAATATGGGGCTGACATAGTGATTGTCAAACTAATCAATATTTAAGTTTACCAATTTATTTCTGCTGTAATGCATAGAAGACATTTTTTGAATTGGCCACATTGTCTAATTCCATTCTAATGTTTACATCATTAGTCTTATATAAAATATAGTTCGGTAAATTGGCCCATGTACACTTGTTAATTGTCATTTTCATACCTGCAAGTTAACAAAATGCACATTATGTTTTTCTGTACTTCGCGATTGAAATTTCTGCTAGTTGTAGACTGAAGCCCGCAACTTCCTTACAGGCTGTGATGGCTAGTGACTTTGCGATTGCCCAGTTTCGATTTTTAGAGAGGCTTCTGGTTGTCCATGGACATTGGTGTTACAAGAGGATTGCACAAATGGTAATTCATTAATAATCATCTTAATCATTATTCTCACACATTGGGTGCCTTGCCTTTTATTATGAATTCATTCATGTATTTCTTTTCTAAACTGTTCAGTTATGCATGCAGATATGTTATTTCTTCTACAAGAATATTGCATTTGGCCTCACCATATTCTATTTTGAGGCCTTCACAGGCTTCTCTGGTCAGTCGGTTTATGACGACTGGTACATGATTTTGTTCAATGTTGTTTTGACATCATTACCCGTTATTTCCCTCGGTGTTTTTGAACAAGATGTTCCATCAGAAGTTTGTTTACAGGTTCGTTCTCTTGAAATGTCTGTCTTCAATGTGTTTCATCCATGTTAGAATAATCCTACCTATTATTGATGAGCTGTGGGCTGCTGTCCTTTGCAGTTTCCAGCACTGTATCAACAAGGACCCAAGAATTTGTTCTTTGACTGGTACAGAATATTGGGATGGATGGGCAATGGTCTCTATGCCTCTCTCATCATCTTCTTCCTTATCGTCACCATCTTCTATGACCAATCATTCCGTTCCGACGGCCAGACAGCCGACATGGCTGCTGTTGGGACCACCATGTTCACTTGCATCATCTGGGCTGTCAACTGTCAGATTGCGCTTACAATGAGCCACTTTACATGGATTCAGCACCTGTTTGTATGGGGAAGCATAACCACTTGGTACGTCTTCCTCTTGTTGTATGGAATGATGTCTCCAACATATTCCAAGACTGCCTACCAAATACTGGTTGAAGGGCTTGGTCCTGCCCCTATTTATTGGACAGCAACCCTTTTAGTCACAGTAACATGCAATCTTCCTTACTTTGCCCACATATCCTTCCAAAGATGTTTCAACCCCATGGATCATCACATCATCCAAGAAATCAAGTACTACAAGAAGGACATTGAAGATCAACACATGTGGACACGGGAGCGCTCTAAAGCCAGACAGGATACCAAGATTGGTTTCACGGCAAGAGTGGAAGCAAAGATCAGACAACTGAAGGGAAAGCTGCAGAAAAAGCAATCTTCCTTTGCTATTTCAGCCCCATCGTGACACTATACATAATTTAACAGTTTTGGGTATTCTTAGGGTTGCGTATATGGTTTTGACTAAATGGGGTGAATTAAAGTCCCATTCACTACGGAAAAAAGTATGGAAACTGCTGTATGTAACATATTTACGTAGAAGAGTGTCAGTGTGTAATTCTCTTACCACATGGTTATGATTCAATTGACCTTGAAGAAATGAAACACCTAAGTTGTATTACTATTTTTCTTTTCTTGGGCTAGGGGTTTTTATATAGTTTTATTTGTTTAGAACTTCTAGTTCCCAATTTTTCTTCCCCATAGGATGAAATCCATTCTTTATTTATTATACTATTCAAATTCTTTGCATATTGACAGTATTATGTACGTATTTATTTCTATAATTTAAGAAGTCGTGATCGAATTAAAATTCGCACGACGCAAAATTTTGTTTAGGCATTCAAAATGTCAGCATAGCGAAAATTGTATCATGAAAGGCTTCTTATTTTCTGCTGGTGGGAACACAGTCTGAAAGCGAAATTGTGGGAGATCAATTGTGCAAGATCCCCATGATAACATTAAATAATTATATGCCAGCATAGCGAAAATTCTACGCATTCGAATTTTTTTTCCCTCAATTTTTACGGTTACTTTTCCAAAACAGAAAAAGTAGCTAATAAAAAAAATCTTGAAAATGAGGAGTTTTTTGGTATGTTAAAAATCTTTTTAACTTTGAAACTTGAATGAGAAGAAACCGGAAGGATGAACAGTAATAATATATTCCGTAAATCAGAAGAGGAAGATAAATAATTAAAGGACAAAACAACGTCGTTTCAACTTTGAGAACAAAAACAAAAAAGATGGTAGGTTGATGAACGAAAGCGCGAGGAGGGTCAGTGAGCGTGTGACAGACAACGATAATTCTCTCTCTCTCTCTCTCTCTCTCTGTCCCCTCTTCGTCGTCTCCGTTTTCTTTTATCCGTTTCTTATTTTCCAATTTTGCCCTCTGCCTTTCCCCGTTTCTCAATTTTGCCCTCTTCTTCTACGATGACCTAATTGAAGTCGTTGTTCAAGTCAGTGTTCGCTTTTCCAATTCCCAATTTCAATTTCCTAGGGTTTTGGTCGAATGGAACCTCGAGTTGGGAACAAGTTCCGTCTCGGTCGGAAGATTGGTAGCGGATCTTTCGGGGAGATCTATCTCGGTGCGTTCTGCTTCCACTTGCTTTACGCTTTTTGCATATTTACCGCGAATTTTTCTTATTTCTTTGATTTGGTTTATTTATTTTGTTTATGTTGTTGCAGGAACTAATATTCAGACAAATGAAGAGGTTGCGATTAAGCTTGTGAGTGTTCGGTCCTACGACCTACCCTAATTTGAAGAAAAAATGTTTAACCTTTTTTTTTTGTTACTCCTGTTTGGTTGCTGAGAAAATTTAAACAGTTGCTAAAGTTAGGAGAATTGGAATGTTTTCAGTGGCTTTGAAATTGAAAGAGTGAATAGTAAGAAATAGTTCTAGAGTTGAAATTGGGGATATGAAATATTGAATTGAATATCCTTTGCTGTGCTGTAAGTTTGGTTTCTGATACTCAGTTCGTTGGTTGATTTTTGCCAAGTGCTTGGCGGTTGAAGTTGTGTTTTTTTCTGCTGCAAAGTTGAAATTATTGAGTGTTAGGTTGGAGGTGTTTAATTGGATGTTTTGTTGTCTTATTTTCGTTTTGATTCAGGAAAGTGTCAAAACCAAGCATCCTCAATTGTTGTATGAATCAAAGCTGTATAAAATACTTCAAGGAGGAAGTAATATCTCTGTCTCTCATCTCGGTGAATTTGTGGCTTTTGGAAATCTTTATTTATTGTTGATTTTGTGTTACTCTGTCATCTCAAATGTTTTTGGTTTGGCTTTTTTATTTGGCAGATGGGATTCCAAATGTGAAATGGTATGGTGTTGAAGGAGAGTACAATGTGCTTGTGATGGATTTGCTTGGCCCTAGTCTTGAGGATTTGTTCAATTTCTGTAGTCGGAAATTGTCTCTCAAAACTGTTCTTATGCTTGCAGATCAGATGGTGGGTTTTCCCACATTATCCTTCTCAATTCCTTCATATTTTCTTTCACTAATTTTCTTTGAATGTCTTGAACTGTTTGCAGATAAACCGAGTTGAGTATGTTCACTCCAAATCATTTTTACATCGGGACATCAAGCCAGACAACTTCCTCATGGGTTTAGGGAGGCGTGCAAATCAAGTATGTGGTTAATTGTTGCTTTCTCAATTTTTTATTTCTATCATCTCCTATATTTGTTGTATCCTTTTCAAATTTGCCTCTTTTTTAGGTGTATATCATTGACTTTGGCCTTGCTAAGAAATATAGAGACACCACTACACATCAGCATATTCCTTACAGGTACTTTTATGACATCTCTACTTTTGTCTGATTTTATGCACCATGGTTGTACAGTTGAACTTCAAACTGGTTTCAACTTTTAGGAATCAGGACCAGCATCTATTATTATGGCAAATCCTATATCTGGGTCTGGGTGTTATAAAGTTGTAATTTGTAAATTATTTATTTATGCGAGTAACTTACTATATAGTGTGGTAGTTTTATTGTAAAAGAATAGCAGCTTCAAAACTGGCATCATTGAAAGATGTGAAACTAATTTGGCTTGCACGGGAACCTTCTCTGCTTTTGTGTTCCAAATATTAATGACAATTTATGCCCTTGTAATTTGTGAATATATGTTTCTTCAATCAATCATGACTTGTTAATGTTACTTACACCAGTTGCTTGAGTAGTTTCTCTGCACTGATTTGTAATTAACCTCCATTTTTTTTTATATTATCAAATTACATTGTCTTTCAAATTATTTATTTAAAGATTAAGGTGGCACTTGATTTTTGTCTCTCTCAGTTGTTATTCTGTGCTCCCATGATTTGCTGTAAATTTGACTTCCTTCTAATCTTTTGCAGAGAGAACAAGAATTTGACAGGAACTGCTAGGTATGCTAGTATGAATACACATCTTGGAATTGGTATGCTCTTATGTATCTCTTGATCAATGCTCTTACTTCTTTGTTGAAGACCCTTGATTTGGACCTGAAAATGTCATTTTCATGTTTTGATAGAGCAAAGCCGTAGGGATGATTTAGAGTCACTTGGATACGTTCTTATGTACTTTTTAAGAGGAAGGTAATTAGTTTCTTTCCTGTGTTTTTTAACTTATTATATATTTTTATCAGCTGCTATTTTCTTATTTGGTAGTTCTGCAGTCTTCCTTGGCAGGGATTGAAAGCTGGTACTAAGAAGCAGAAGTATGAGAAGATTAGTGAGAAGAAAGTTTCTACTTCTATTGAGGTGTGATGAAATAGTGTCTTGTTTCATATCATATATGTCCGTATTTTGTTTTTAAAATTATATCTGATTGCGGATTGCTTTTTTGTTAGTCTCTCTGCCGTGGCTATCCCTCAGAATTTGCTTCATACTTCCATTACTGTCGGTCACTGAGGTTTGATGACAAACCAGATTATGCTTATTTGAAAAGACTTTTACGTGACCTTTTCATTCGTGAAGGTTTGAGCCTTGTTCTTCTATTTATATTTTATTTTGGGATGTATTAAACACTTGATAAAAATATTTGAAGGACCGGATATCTATGTTTCTATTTACCTTTTTTTTTTTATGTCGTTGACTTCTTGCACCAGGATTCCAGTTTGATTATGTCTTTGATTGGACCATTTTGAAATATCAGCAATCTCAAAGTGCCACTGCCCCTGCTCGTGCTATTGTAAGTGATAACTTGCTATCTCATTGTGTTAGTTGATTGATTGTTGAGATTAGGTTATTCAGTGGAAGTGATACTTGCAGGGTTCTTCTGCCGGACCAAGTGCAGTTATGCCACCACTGGCTGCAATTACTGATGCACAGTTAGGTATAATCTTTCTTTTTGCTTCACATCTCGGATCTCTCATTATTACCTTACCTTGATTGAGATGTTCATGGACAGACTATTAGAGTGTGGTGTCATTCCATTCAATAATCTGTTATTCTACTAAGTTTTTTGTCCTTTATAGTTGGTCATTTTACTCATTCTCTTCATGTTTTCTTAATATATGACCCTTGCATTTTTTTAATGGGGAAACTTTTATGTAGGTGGAGACGCTGCTAGGTATATTAATTGGTCTACATCAGATCCTACTCGTAGGAGAAACTCTGGACCTATTGCTAATGATGGAATCTTATCTAGACAAAAAGCCCCAGTTGCATATGACTCAACTGGATCTAAAGATGCTATGGTGCGTGCATTTTGAATTGGTTTTTACCTGTTCTATGATGTCAGTGTATTTATTCATTTATTGTAGAAAGTTTAAGGATGACGGTTTCTTTATGCATTAATTTTAAGAATTCTTAAATCCACATTATTATACCTGTTGAACTATTTTATCAAGGGAGTTAATATTTATCAGGAACATGGGATTGTTTTAGAAGTAAAAAAACACGAACTATTTATCATTTATCCAAGAGAAAAAAATTATGAAGTTATGTTTTGTTTCATCTTTTTTTTCTTTTGGTAATGTCTGGATTACAAACAATGTTATCAAATAACCGTTTTGGTGCTGCCGTCAGAAAGGTATAACGTGGCATTTTTGAACCCCTCCGCCATTTGCTATTCGTTATTTCCCGCTATATAGCAGCATCCGCTATATCCGCCATGGCGATGGCTTCCTGGCGCTGATGGCAGGAGTCCCCCTCATCCTTTTTTTCTTATCTTTTCTCTTGTGAAGCTCCTAAGTTGCTAATAAACAACTACAGTGAGCCTTCTTTTTCTTTACCATGGCGGCCTTAGCTCCTGAAAGTTTTCTGGCAAACAAATCCGGCGACCCATAAGAGTTCTTTTTGTTTTTTGTTTGTTTTTTCTTCTTCCTTCCATTTCTTTTTGTTTCTTTGTTTTTTCATCTCTTTTTCATTTCTTCAGATGTTCATCATCTCTTTCTCTCTCTCCCTCTCTTTTTTTCTCTCTCTCTCTTATTCTGTGTGACTGTTCTTATTCTTCATCTGTTCAATGCTTTTGTTCTGTGTCAAAATTCTGGAATTTACTTATCTGTATTTTAGAATTTCATTATCATGTTTTGTTATGTTGTTTTCTATATTAAACCTATAATGTTGTTCCCAATTCTGTTTCACTTATAGCACAATGTTAAGCAGTAATCACCCAACATTAAAATTATGCATCCTAAAAGTCTGTTTTTTTATTTTTGGTTTTGTTTTTAATATATATATATATATATATATATTATTTTTGTCGGCCATGGCGGCTGTCATAAGTTGCCATGCCATCCGTCATGTTTGTTGCAGATTTTTTCTTACTGCCATAGACCATTATCCGTTATTGGTAACCTTGACTACAAAGTATTTTCTGTATTACTTGTGATAATGTACCGAAGAAGCATGAAATAAATAGGTAATATAAGTATTTATTATTATCTGGACTTAACTTCTTCAGGCCTGTATGCAGAGTTTTGTGGGGAGAATATATTTACCCAGTGCTTGTAATTCTCAGCAAAAATAAAAATAAAAAATTAAACAGAATATAGACCTTATGTACTATGTAGTATGTGTTCATGAATTTTTTTTTTTGTGATTGCCTTAATTGTTAGTTCAAAATTCTAATCGCGTTTGATATATCTTACTGGTTGAGGTTATAAAAGTTTATCTGTTTATATTGCAAGTAGTTTTCATGTTACTTATGAATTTGTGTGCATGGTTTATGCAGTTGTCAGGTTCTAATTTCTTCCGGTCAAGTGGATCTGCAAGGCGAGGTGCTGTTGCAGGCAGCCGTGATGTAGTTGCCAGCAGTGAGACCGAGTCCTCTCGTCCCGTGACTCTGGATTCAAGTCAGGGAACACTTCGTAAAATCTCTGGTCCTCAGAGAAATTCAGCTATCGTCTCATCTGAGCACAACCGAACATCCTCGGGCAGAAACGCATCGAACACAAAGAATTTGGAGACAACTCTTAGGGGTATTGAGAGCCTGCATTTCAATGAGGAGAGGGTACAATATTAGCAGCTACACTCTCGATGGCCTTGCTTTCTTCTTTGTAAATTCTAAAAGGCTTATACTCTTTTTGACGAACTAAGGAGTGGAATGTTGCCTATGCATTGTGTTGAAGAAAAGCTGCGAACTAGCTGGGAATTATCCCTCCTAAGTATACAATAAAGATATGTCTAGGCAGCTTCCCAACCAACTAAACTAGCCTTGTAAAAGGTTTCTGTTCATACAGTTTGTGTTATACTGACAATTACAAACGTTTTACTTCACCTTTACCATCGTTTTCTGTTTGATTTGATTGATATTAAGTCATGTTTCTTGCTTTTTTTAGCTTACATTTTGAGAATATAGCATATCATATCATTGAGAAACTAAATAGTAGGGGAATTGTAAGATTTTGTGAGCAAGATGTGTTGTGTCGTTTTATCACAATTTAAATTATTAACTAATAAATATAAAATATAGTTTATACATTCAAAGATATTTATGAATTCTAATTTTATATAAGTAAATATTTATCGTGTAATATATGAAGTAAAACGCTAGTTACTTAAAGGTCACATTTAAAGGGGTTTTTAATTGGTTGATAATGTAATGATTTTTATATTAATAATTCTTTAAAATTATTTTTTTTTCTTGTTTTGATTACTATAATTTTTTTTGTGTAGTTTATTTTAACCTCTGTTCATGATGGTGTGGTTGACAGATTCCATACCGTCCTCCATAACAACATCAGTTGCTACATTTACAAATATTCATCATATTAATTTTTTGCAAACTTAATGTTGCATTCGTTAGAATTAGAATCATTTGGAAAAGAAAATTATAACGAAGACTAAAACGGCACGCAATAACTTAACAAAATCGGTACAAATAACATTTTCCATGATTTTTTATGCAAAAATCTTTTCTAGAATGCCGTTTCATAACAACTTTGAAATCAAAGCTTCAATTAACTTTCGGTAAAGGATAATGACACAGCGCGTCCAATCAGAATTGTTCAATATTTGAAAATAATATGATATTAAGATAGAATTGCATGAAAACTCATTTCTTTGATTTCCTACTCAAATAACCATAAACAAAAGTTTCTTGAGTATACTTATTTATGAGTTTAATTTTGATCAGTTTACACCGTCAATTAATTATGTAATGTTTACATGTCTTTTTAATTAGTTATAATCAAAACTAACGGTTCTTAATGATGTATTATTTACGATTTTTTAACAGTGTAAAATAATTTAAACTTTTGATATATTCTAATTTAATTCTCTTCACTTAATTATATAAAAAATCAAAAAATCCATCTTATTCAAGTCATAATATATATGAAATTCAAAGTTATTAATAGAGAATAAGCCTAAAAAAATTGAAGAATTACAAATGAATATAAAAAATAAAATAAAATAAAAAACTGTGCGAATAGAAAACTAAACACTAATAGTTTACCCACAAATAGTTTTTTCCCGTAAACACCATACATTTTGCAGCCAAAATTACATAATCTTGCAACATTTACCCACAAATAGTTTTTTCCCGTAAATTTTGTTCTCGAAATTCTAAAATAAAATATGACCAATTATCTTAATTGCAAAGATTTAAAGAAATATTAGTTATAAAATTATCTTAATTTTGATAATTTAAATAAATGTGTGTATATATATATATATACATAATTTTTTTTACCATGATATTAATAAGAGTATCTATCGATTTCATCGGAAACTAGTCTTTTTTGAAATCTTGACTGTACTAAGACTATTCATCTAAATGTTGTTCTTTTATCAAATCTAAAACTCAAATTCAACACCTTAAAATTTGAGGATTGAGTGTAGTACCAGTCAGATCAAAAAACGGTGGTTGATAATTTTAATATGTTATGACAATATTTGTGACATTTTGTGGATCGCGAGTAAATTTTGAAAAATAAAAGAAAAGAGATTATATAATTTTTATGAAGAAAATTAGGCCTACTTATACATCCAAATAGTGAAAGGGAGCAACATTAGCATGTGGTGATACTTACATACATTTGAATCTCTTAACAAAATTTCACCATTGTGTTTTAACTTCTGTACACTTGAACAGTTATTCCGTTTTACCGAACCCAACTTATGTATTAGGTTGTATTCTCTCTTCAATGCAAGTTCCATTTTCATTATGAGTTTTAACTTTTGTACACTTCATTTTATAGATTGCATAGATCTGGTAGGTGCATAATTTTTGCTATAATTGCTCTTGAGATTATGTTGGTATCACATGCAAGAGCGAAGACAGATTGACAACAACCAATTCTCTCGTTAGCCAATTGCCTTTACTGATGTCTCTGTATTTTTCTCTTGCTTTGATAAATTTGATGCTATTTCGTTACTAGTTGTGAATGTAAAGTGTCTTTCATGCACCTATACCATAATAGAAATAAGCATTAAGAATATGTGTTGTCAAAAGCTTGGAATAGAGTTTAAACTCCCACTCTAATAATAGCTGATTTGGGGGACAAAGCAAGGCACCCCATGTAAAAAAAAATATAAATAAATAAATAAAACTTCTTTCAATACTAAGCATCTTTGGTTTCAATCTAGTGATGATAAAGTGAATCAAAACTTTTATAAGAAATTGGATTTAAATTAACCCAATCATATAAAATTAATTTGTAAGATTAGGATTATTTTTGTTATATTTACTTTATTTAGCCTTATCTGCTCCGTCAGGCATTTGAGTAGTGGAGAGGAAATACCACACTTGAATAACTCATCCCCAATGATGATGAACTTGGCCGATCTCATCCTTATTTTCCGAGCTTCGTTCTTATCCTCGGGAAGGACTCCTTCTTTCAAGTAACTCCAGATGCCTGCCATCCATCCTAGGTCTTCATTGTCACTGACGCTGATGATTTTGTCATCTAGGCTGGGTGAGTGCAAGGTTTCCTAGATGATGGTCCGGTGCTGCCCGAGCCTTTTGGTGTTGGCGAGCTTCGATAGGAGGTCGGCTCGGGCATTTTATTCTCTTGGCACATGTTTTATGGTGAATTCGTCGAAGGATGAGATCTGGTGGGACGTAGTGTGAAAGTACCGCTGCAACATAGTGTCCTTTGCCTGGTATGTCCCACTAAGCTGCTCCACCATGAGTTTTGAGTCGCTGTTGCAGCTCACTCTCCGAGCTTCGAGGTCGCGAGCCAGCCTTAGGCCTGCGAGGAGTGCCTCGTATTCCGCCTGGTTGTTGGTCACCTTGAAGCCGAACTTGAGGGATTGCTCCAAGGCGACTTGGTTTGACCCTTCCAGGAGGATACCTGCACCACCGCCTTTAGAGTTGGAGGACCCGTCAACATGCAAGGTCCATACCTGGGGTTCCTCGGCAGTAGTTAGCGTGAGCTCGGCCACGAAGTCGGCTAAGCATTGGGCCTTCAGGGGTCCGCAGCCTTCGTATTGGATGCCGAACTCGGATAGTTCAACTGACCAGGCGATCATACGTCCGGCGAGCTCGGGCTTTCTCAGGATTTGTTTGATGGGATAGTCGGTTTTGACTACCACTTGGTGGCTCTAGAAATAGGGTCGTAGCCGTTGGGCTGCGGTGACAAGCGCCAATGCCAGTTTTTCAATCATTTGGTATCTTCTCTCTGCGTCTTGGAGGACTCGGCTGATGAAGTAGATAGGTGTCTGTACCTTTTGGTGCTCTTGTACGATGACTGCGCTGATGGCGTTTTCGGCTACTACCAAATAGAGAAGGAGGTCGGTGTTGTGATCCGGCCTCTGTAAGATCGGTGGGGTTGTGAGGAA